AAGCGTTATAACAATCACAGTTATAGCTTCCGAAGTTTATAGCAAACCAATAATAGATACTGTTTTTTAGACGCGTCGCGTTGGTCATATTTATAGGCGTGTGGAGAGTTTCTCGAAAATTCAGATTATGTAACAATACAAAGCTACAATAGTGTTTACGTACAGACATATATTGTTGATTCTCACACTCGAGAATCTTCTACAACTTTAGAGAATAGGCAAGAGTTTTGCAATACATATGTAACAGTATACAGTATGTATATTTCTAAATATAAATTTAATTTAAACAAACATCGATATTGAAATAAATGTATAATAATAAAACCGTCACACATTTGTTTAGTTAAGACAGTAATTAACATCCTTCTTGGATGAATTCAGTTAAATCTACTTTAACTATAGCCAATTCATTAGTTTAATTTTATCATTAAAAAATCTATCTTTTTTCTTTTATTTGGTAACGTTTTTTGAATACCACTTCATAGGTGATAGTTTATGTTGAAGTTAGTTCACCCTTTCTGTACTTTTATAATTAGTTTCCTTCCCATCTGCACTTACTTTTTTTTTGGATCATTTGTTGTTTTTGTTGCTTTACCCACTCTTTCTTTTTATGGTGCTTCCAGTGTAAGTTTATTCTATATTTAGTTGTCTATTTATCCTTTCAAGAGAGCAATTTTAGACTGAGGTTTTAATTTCGCTTGGTTACATTTAATTGTATCTTTCATGATTTCACTTTAGCTGTTCGATAGTGGTTGAAGAAAGATATTTATTTCTAACCATTCTTGGATTTACATCAAAAGACCCACCAAGGGAAGAAAAATTCTGTAATGTAGATTTTTATTTTTACCAGAAACTTTCTATTAACCAACCAGTATCAATCCTATTTTATTTCTCAAAACATAACTTTCTACCAGTTTCAATTAAAATATTTTATCACGAACACCATCCTTATTTATTTTAATTAGTCTTTATATTCTCTTTAACAGATGTAAAATAAAATATATACTGCCATTAAATGTTGACTTTTATGACTGCGACACGCAAATACCATTTTATCATTTAATTGCCCTATAGATATCAATAAAGTCCAACTGATGCAATAATAATAATAATGAATAAGTAGTTGTGCAATCTGACTAATTTTTGAGAGGCAAATTATATACCGCACTCAGCTTTTGGTGAAAGCCCAACAGATTCGTCGAAAGTCTACAACTAAAAC